GGGGGGGGGGGGGGAGGGGAAAGGGGGGGGGGGGGGGGGGGGGGGGGGGGGGGGCTGAAGAATTGGGAGTTGGGACGTTACGGAGGGCAAGAGGAAATTCCTTCGCTCTCTCTATCTTCGAAACTTCCAATAAACAGATTTTTATCGTTTCTACCGACGCCGTAGACCAGGCACAATTTTAATTAAGCTCGTCGGGTCGCGTTTCGAGCTTTAGGGGCTCGCGGGGCGAAATCGCGGACGATCGGCCGAGTATCGATCGTCGGGGGAGGACCGAATGGCTTCCAAACCGCATCCATTGTCTTTCGGCGTGGTGAAATTCGTTCGAATGAACTGGTGGCGAGGATCGCGCGAGGCCACCGGAGGCCACGGGAGGCCACCGGAGGCCACAGGAGGCCACGGGAGGCCACGGGAGGCACGGAGTCTGCAGGGAGGAACTGCTGACACGTGGGCGGCGCGCATCTCGACGATTGGCTCGGGCGAACTCCGCCTATCCTCGACTTCCTTTCCTCGAGCAGGAGAAACAACGTCGCGCAGCGTCGTGCCGCGCCGACTCGCGCGTCCATTACGGAGGCTGCGATCGTTTCGTCCTCGAACGAGCAACGAATGCCTCGCCGAGAATGCGATTTCATTCCGTGCGAGTTCGCGTGATTTCGTGTAACCGCGCGCTCCCGAACGAATCGGTTCGATCGACTTTCGTGAGCCCCGAACCTGGACCAGACACCGGTGTGCCACATGTTTACACTGTTCGGCGTGGTTGCACGGTAGCGACGCGCATTATCGATACCGGGTGAACTGTTTTCAATATGTACGAATCTCGATGCAAATGTATGGTAGAATTCTGATAAACCTCGATAGACATGTGGAGAATCGGTAGTTGTTTAGTCCTTAAATGCATCGCGTCGCTGTTTGGTAACATATATACAGGGTGTTAAGAAAAAAACCATTCAATATTTATGTGGTATATAGGATACATTGTACTGAGTAAAAAAGCTTTAGTAAACATAAGTCGAAAGGTTCAACCGTTTCTGAGATATAAACATTATTATTTGCTAGTATCATGATCGACTTACTTACGGGGATAGTTAAAAAGTCTAGTGTATTTCTCGCCGATAAGTGACTTAGAAGAATTGCGTAACCGAATCCACCATGCTTGTCAAACAATTCAACAGAAATGTGGAATTTTCGAGAGAGTTCGCGACTCTGTAACAAGAAGATGCAAAACGTGTGTAGAAATGGAAGGTGGACACGCGGAAAAGCTTCTGTAAACATCGAAAATTCAGTAGTAAGTCGATCATGATGCTAGCAAACAAAAATGTTTATATCTCAGAAACTGTTGACCTTTCGACCTATGTTTACTAAAGCTTTTTTACTCAGTACAATGTATCCTATATACCATATACTATATGGCTTTTTTTAACACCCTGTATATATTATTAAATATATAGTATATATTATATATTATTAAATATATATGTTATATATTTGTTTTGTAGCCAATTGCCTACATACGATAATTTTGTAACAAAAAACTATTTTCATACAGATATAATTCTTTTCTTTATTTTTCCCTTAACACGCACTCATTTTTAAGTAAAGTGCGATGAATAGAAATTGAAAACCAAAAAGTCGCGCATTTGAGGCATAACACATGCTTCTTAGGGGTTGAAAATAGCCTCCAATGACGCGGATAAGACGCTCATTCTACGAAATATTTGAATACATCACCGTTCGTATGACTAAAAATAGTCGTTTTCTTGACTGTTCGCGAACTGCCGGAGAACAGAAAATAGTGAAAACTTGATGGAAAAAAACTTAATAGTTAAAACTTTGTCCTTGTTGATAATAAAAGCCCTTCTTTATAAGAATCCCTACACGAAAAAGTTTTTCCACAGCCCGGATCTTATTATGTTGACACATTACCCGAAGTTCACAATGATTTAAAACAAAATAGCGGGAATTCTTAATACTTTCATGGAGCACGTGATATGTTCTCACTATTTTAATATCTGTATTTTATGTAGAAGTTGCAGTTTTTAAAAGAAAAAAAATTTAAAGATGTGTCCCAAAAGTGGAACAATGGTGGATAATGGGCTAAAGATCAAACGAGACGGAGGAAGCTCGAACAACGTTTCAAAAATCCTCCGGCTTCCAAGGCATTTCGTAGAACAGAAAAAATTGTTGTAGCCGACGAAACAATGATCGAAGCTCGCGATTTTTCGGTGCCCGAACATCGAAACGTTCGCATAGGTACGAGCGACGTGTGAAACCAGCGCGACAACTTGTTATTTCAAAAAACAATTATGCACGGCGAATCCAACAATTCCGATCAGCGAACGAGCATTCCGATCGCTCTTACGTTCACGTGCACGCTTTAATCGTTCCGCGCGACAGCCTGCCGCCAACCGGGAAGAACGAGCGAAGAACTCGTCATTTGAATTCGACCTCCTTTTTCAGCGGTTTTTACATTTACATAGCTTTTACTTGTTTTTCTAACTAACCTGGCGTTTAACGCGTTGTAATATCACGGATATCAATTATGTTTACACGAGCCTCCATAAATCATAACGTCCACAAATCACGAAGCTAACGAACGAGAGACGTCGATCGTGCACTCGACTTCGGAAGACCGTGCCACATTCCGCGAACAGTCCGTCCGGCACTGGGAATCAAGCTCGCGGCTCGCACGAATTACGCGCGCGGGAAATCTAAATTTAATTTCAGATAATCGAAAGCAGAGATTAGAGTCCGGCCGCATTATCGCGCGTCCACGATATACCGTCGCTGTTTTTATAATTTCCAAACAAATATCACACCTGACCCCCCGCAGATTCGTGGTTCGATAAAACCGACTGTTGGTCCTCGCAATCGATGATCGTGGATGCCGTCGGACTAGCGGATCGAAGAAACGACGCCATTGACCCGCGCTCCGTCCAAGACTGGCCCTCGTTTTCAGCAGAATGCGAATAAAAACGGGAGCGGTTTCGATCGTATCTATGGCGTAGAGATAAGCCAGCGTTGTATGCGCGCATCCTGTTTTGATTACTCGCGGGCAGATTTATATTTTTGTCGAAAGACGAAACCGCCTTCGAGGCTTACGCGAACGGAAGTCGACGGAAATCGCTTAATCTTATCTGAAATTTCACCGTTAGCCGACACGAGGGAACAAGAGTGTTACGGAGACGGCACTTATTCAAATTCTCCGCATAGCTTCCGTTCAAATCAATTGCCAACGCTCCGAGCACCCCTATGCGACAACCCGTTCTTCGCCTTTCGGTCTGCACCTGCGCGATCATCGAGTCTTCGTATAGCTTCCAATAGCTGGAAGGGGAGAGAGAGAGAGAGAGAGAGAGAGAGAGAGAGAGAGAGAGAGAGAGAGAGAGAGCTCTCTCGATCGAGGTGGCGATCTACGCGGACGTTGCCGAAATGTGCCCGGTCTCGGTCGCGGGCTCGGCATCCCCAACTAAACGAAGGTACGCAGGACAATGGCTTCTGCGGATTACCATAATCCACCACCGCAAGCGTTTTGTTACGTTGCGTTGCGTTGCGTTGCGTCGCATCGCGTGAACACTCGGAATTATAACGTACGCGATATGTGTGACCAGTCGATGTTCCCACAGTTATCCGTCTGAACGGCGAGGAAAACAGGTGGCCCGGTAAGAGACACGACCCGTAACGAGTCGGTATCGCCCCGCGAGGCGAGCCGCGTCGTTTAGGGACTTTCAGGCGAAACCTGAAAAATATTTGTTTCCTCCGTGCCGTCTAGACGAGTTCGATCGGAGATTACGGCGAACGTAGACTGATAATGTCTCCAGTTTTCGAGATAATGGCTCCAGCGAGACACGTATAATCGAGAACGCGCTCGCGCACGGTCCTCGAGAACGGGTTCGAACACGTTGCTAATTCCGATTAACGCCGGCGCTTCCGTCGGCCGAAGGGTTGAAGAGTTTGCTTCGGGCGTTGCTCGCATCGCGTTTCGATCCGAGGGAGAAACGAAAAGACCTGGGAATTCATATTTCGAGAAATTGCCAGCTAGGAAAAAGACGGGGTTGCGGTGAGATGCGGCAGCCGTGGAACTGGGAAAATTGACGGGAATCGACTCGGTGGAGAGTGAACAAGGACACGGCGAGGGTTCATCCGGTAGGATAAAAAGCGTAGTCCGAGGCAGATACGGAGTGAGAACGAGACCGAGAACGAGGAGCACGGGTTCTCATACGGTCCGGTTAATAGGGCCCAAGGGACGGACCCTTGCGCGTACACCACCTACACCTGCGCGGGCTGATGTGTG